CAGCTTCTTTGCACATCAAGGTCGAAGCACTTTTGGACTTGTGCCCATCGTTGAGCAAACTTCAATTTTTGTTGACTGGACGAGTGGCCGATTTAGATTACAGTGCATTGAAAGAGCAACTTTCCGACGGTACCCTATTCACATCGACCTGGAAACCTTACGAAGATCAAGAAGTGGTCTATATAAAATTCTGCGAGAGAGGGCACAGAAGGATGTCTGCAGATGAAGTCACGAGAAAGTTATACATTCCAACTGTGAAAAAGTCGAAGGAATATTTAGGGATTTTGGTGAAACGGTTATTCTAACTTTGTCATCATCAACAAGCATTCAGATACGAAGAAGTCGGTTACAACGTGGAAATTCAGCGACGCGTTTCAGAAGCAATTATTTTATCTTTAATGGATTTCGGTATCACATTTTGCGGCATTAATACACAGAGAACGGTCAATTCGATGGAAACCTGCTTCACAGTAAGAATCTTGGCGCAACTATCTTGCGACTCCAACAACAGAACGTATTTTTTGGCACATCAAGTTGTTCCTTCGACCGCCATGTACCATAGCCTAACACGCGGAGGACATGTCTTTTTGCATCTGTTGCGAGCCATCTACGGGAATCATATCTTACGATGCTGCACGAGGATAAACGCCTTTGCTAGTTCCAGATACGAGATTTTTCTGCAGATTCTGATAGATATCAACGGAATGAATCATGTCTGGGTGAGACTCCATGGGGAACGTTTCAATCGAACAGAACACCTACGACAAATCAACGCAGCCCGTCGATTGGCTGCAGCCGCAAATGATTCATCTGATGAGATCGAATCAGCAGCAGAACATGATGCTAAACGTAGGAGAGTTCTACCGATTTCGAGCACTTCCCAAGAATCATCAGATATACATCATGAAACATCAGACATCGTTTCGCCGCCAGCAGATGCAGAAAGCAGGACTCAAAATTCGGAAATTGTCTCTTTGCCAGACATCATCGAGGTATCGGAAACTACTCACCAAGATTTCGAGATAACCACAGTTGAAAGAGACATCGCCTCGTCAGAGACTGATGCGAGAACCCAATCAACACATCATCCTGAAACCCAACAATCATCATCACATCAAACTGTCACACAACAATCATCATCAGCGTCACATCATTCTGAAACTCAACAATCATCAGCACAACATCCTCAAACACAGATACAGGGTGGCAGTCAAATCTCTGACTTGATGTCTCTTTCACAAACTTCGACATGTAATTATTCAGAGTCAGACTCCTCTCAGATGAACTATGTGAATAGGGCATATTACGACGCTGAAAGATACAAGACCACAACTGCCACAACATCAGCCATCAGTCACGACTGTTCACCAGGACAAGGCATACCACCGCCACCTGCTCGTTCACTCCAAAAAAGAATTGACTTGAAGTCTCTTTCACAAACTTCGACATGTAATTATTCAGAGTCATCAGACTCCTCTCAGATGAACTATGTGAATAGGGCATATTACGACGCTGAAAGATACAAGACCACAACTGCCACAACATCAGCCATCAGTCACTGTTCACCAGGACAAGGCATACCACCGCCACCTGCTCGTTCACTCCAAAAAAGAATTCCATATTCTATGAAAGAGGATAGGTCACTCATCAATTGTATAGCCAGTAATGAAACCTTATACAAGTGTATTGGAAATTCAGTAAAATTTTTACGGAATTTGGAAGTAATTTTCAACAACCAAAGTAATGGTGTCTTCAGGACTTCCAATTCGCTTAAATCTAGACTAAGAATATTGTTTAAAGATGGCGGCCACAATGTGATTCTTAATAACATGCAAGTGTCTAAGGAAATTGCGGGCTATTTCGTTAATTTAAGAAAACTTACATAATTTCATAATTGAATAACTTAATTATTGTCATTGATGTGTAGAATGTTTAATTTGCAGTTTCCGAACTTGCAGTTAGTAGTTTCTAAAGTTTATTTTATAATTTAGAATTTTTTTATTCACCCGGTTTCATAAATCATCGAGTTATATTGTATGTCATCAATTCAATTGTTGTATCTTATTTAACAATGTTATTATTTCATAAGTTCTCACCTCTCGTCATCAATTGTCAATTCAATTATTCAAATATTTCGATGTTATCTGTTGTAGCCGCAGAAAAAATATAGTGTAGAACTCGCACGGATTGTTAATTTGTAAATAGGTTATTGGTTAGGTTAGGTTAGGTTAGCCGTAGGAAAAGTATAGTGTAGAACTCGCACGGAATGTTAATTTGTAAATAGGTTATTGGTTAAGTTAATTTAGAGGACAATATATTCATACAAGAATCATGAATACTACAGCTTTTCCGGATAGAGTTCCAGAGGTAGCAGAGTGGAAGCAAAAGGGGTGGTTTTAGTCGGAGTTGCGCCCGACACTACCTGTAGCTGATAGATCATAAGGCTCAGGTGCCAAGCGGTTTCCACCCCATTAAAAAAAAAAAAATAGGTTAGTCTAGTATAGTATATTCTGCATATATCAATCACCTTGTACAATATATTTTATAGGAAATCGAGTGAGATGATGATGTTGTCATGATGATTTAAGTATGTTGTTTTCAACGTATCAAATCCTCATTGGTCGATAGATTGATAGCCGTCGCGTGAATGTATGTTCACCCAATCACAACACGATTCTACAAAATTAGGTGGACATTGTGAATCTACCTTAGAATTGTTTATTTACATGTGTGTTATTGTAGTGTCAATGGAATGATAGAAATTAATAATAATTCATTTTGACTTGCTAATGAATCAGAAACTTAAGCAGGACATGAGGATATTTTGTTTTTGTGAACGATAAATCATCATTTAACTATGTGCAATGTGGAATTTCTCTTTGTAATTTTAGGTTAGGAACAGATCTCAGGATATCTTCTAAATGAACATCTTCAATTCATCTTATTTTTCCATAAGCTGATGAATCATTCTGCTCAGTCTCACTGAAGGAAATAGAATGAATCATTTATAAGAAATTCCTTGAAATTATTTCCTTCAGTATTCAAGGTAGGTTTGCACATATGAAATAAAAATAACCATCATTTCGAATGAAGATTTTAATCAAATTATGAGAAATACTCAATTAAGAAATGATCAATATTTTGACTACTTCCATCACTTTCATCGGCTTCTTCAGGATATTGATTTCCCAGTCCAGGGCTTCCAATTTGGCAGATTTTATCTAATTTCATTTGTGGCATTATACCAGCCAATTTCATGAATTCATCCATTGATGGTTTTGAATTATGTAGGGATCATTCTGATACCTACTCAGGTATCACATTTCTGATATTGTCCAAGGAAATCGGTTGCATCATGAAATGTGAGAAAAGTATAACAAAAAAATTGACCATATATGATTCATTGGGGTACTCACAAAAGGGTCTTGAGCCCTTGAAGTCAATAAAAACTGTCCTGATCAATACATTTAATCTTTATTTGTTCTCCTTATGCATATTCCATGTCATTTCCATAGCCAATTCTCATTTCAGATGTCCTTCAGAAAATCATCAGTAGAACCATGAAAAGTAAAATCAGAAAGTGTAACATAAACATTGCACAGAACTACATAAATGCTGGTACTCACAAAAGGGTATTGAGCCCTTATTGAAGTCAACTGTCCTACTCTGAGTCATATGGATATATGCAGTTCCACTCATCTAAAAAAATATGTGAATTATGAATACAGTTTGAATTGCATAACTCAAATTTTGCAGCATGAACATAAGAAATTTGAATCCAAATTAGAATCCACAATGAACAAGTGATTATTTCGAACATACATCTAGGTACTTATATAGTGGATATATCAGTATCAGTAACTTATAAATCATGCTTACAAAAATTGCTACTAACAAAATACCTAATTTTAATTATGTTTCAAATTTTCCAATTTTCTGTTCTTCTTCTCTTGCCTCTTATACATTTCCTCTGTCTGGAATTTCCTACTGGCATATTTGACAACATAATAAGTTCTCATCCTTATAAATAGCCTCAACATATACTCATAAGGAAATTCCGGACAAGGATGTGCATATTGGACATTTTTCATCCTGATATATAATTCTTCTCCAACTCTTCCTGGGGCAATATATTGCATATTTTCCATTAAGATTGATTCCAAGCATGATACATAATTGACAAAAGAATCCCCTGGCATCAGTTATTTTCCAAAAACTCCTTTTCTCTGTCCATATTAAATTGATATTTGTTGTTCTGAATAGATTTTGTTTCATTAGGAGTTACTTCAGAATTGCTTAGCAGTAAGGCATCATTATCAGCTTCACAGTTGAATGTGTCAGTCCAATCCAGTTTATATATCCAGGCACGTCAGTTTTCAATATACCACATTTATTTTCTTGATTAATTTGATTTTTCTTGGTGTGATAGCTGAAAGTTGCTTTTCTGTCTGCACTTGAGAACCAGACTTCTGCACAAGTGTCTGTGTTCCTGTGTCAACCATATCTGGTTCTGTTTGGGTACCAATGCTTCTTGCTCTTGTGTTCATCCCATCTTCAGAGCTATCATCTATTTCCATAAAATGACCTACTTCTATATTTTCATCACTGAAATATGAATGCTCCTCATGTATGGAGCCTGATAAAGATACCTATAAGATCAAGTGTAAGTATGTAAAATACAATAAAATCAGGACCATTTTACCACCAAGTTCAGTGTAGGGACAGCATTTTCTTTCAGTTTGTGCTTTTCCATCAAATGATCCTCAAAATGTAGACTGCAAATTCTCATGCTTCGATACAATTTCATAGGATCAGTAGCCATGATCAATTCATCATTGCACGCCAGTAGCCATGAATTCATTCTCACTTCTTGGGTCCTAGGATTAGGGAACCTAAAAAATCTCAATGGTGTATGTTGATTATTATCTAAGTACTTACTCTTGCAGTCTTTGACTGCACATTTTACTCCTCCATGTCTCCCTATTGCCAAGTTTATCTACAAAAATATATCATTTCTACCATAGACACTAGAAAAAATCAAATATACTTACACTTATACCACAATATTTTGAGGTTATGTATTATGATAACAAGAAACGACTTTTGTCATTGTTGAAAAATTTGCCAAATCTCTGAGAAGAAATTCAAGGTCATTTGTCAGTTTTCCCGCGCATTTGAAGTGGAGCTTCTTGATAGGTGACTAACCTAACCTAACCTACTATTCTTTGCTTTAGGGTGGGTAAAAAGAAAAAGCTTGGGTAAAAAGAGATGAGAAGGTAGGTGTTTCAACACTCAATTTTGAAAATTTTCCCTTTTTTGGTTATTTCCCAATATCATTTCATTTTCAGTATTGAGAAACTAACGGGACAGGAGGAAAATAGGGGCTTTGGGTGGGTAAAAGAGCAGAATAGGTGATTTTTTGACCTTTTTTCCTGTAAAATAATGGTAGGTAGGTAGTATCGCCATCTAACAGAGAATGCCCAAAGTATTGGCTGACAGATGATCGCACTACTGCATCTAAGGAAGAAAACTGCCACCGTAGCGCCATCTATCGGAGAATACTCAAACTATCAAGGCCGTAGTTCACCTATCGGATAACAGAGTTATACTTGATAGAAAAATGAAAACTGCAATTTAGCGCCATCTATCAGAGAACGATCAAACCAATTGAAAATTAGTTGAGCAATTGCTTGACAGAGAGCGCTAGTATTTTTTTAATAATGCATAATCACACTTATATTTTACAAGAGAGAAAACAAGACGACTCCTCCAAAAAGCTAAAATATGATAGATACTCGCTTTAGGTAAAACCCCATTCTGCTAGATTGCCTCATTCAGTCAGTGAGAGGATTGGTATATTTCTAACACCATCAGGGTAGACTATATGATCATCTGCTGATACTGAACATCACAACAGAATGAACACAAAACAGGTACTCGCTCACAGATTCACACCATTTCTGCTGTTTATTGTTTGGATATCAGCCACGCTGCACAGAGAAGGCCTATCTGAATGTCAGTGATATTTCTGTGATCATCCGGATCATCCATGAAAGCAGAAAAAGGGATCTGGAAGTAAAACAAACAGAATAAGGGACTTCACAAAAATACCTACTAGCTCAACGGCTCAACCATTCATTCATTCAGCTTGGAATTTATGATAAAATGACAAGAATTTAATAGTTTTTCAGCAGCAATTACATGGATATGTACAGGCAGTAGAAACATTCTGATAATTCCATCGTAAAATACACATCTGTTGTTGATGAAAGTTAAATAAAAATAACATGAATCGACCAGATAAAAATGTATCCATCCATCAGGTCTTTCAGGAGGCCCACATGCAGCTGAGTCCATGTTTATGAAACACTTGTCAGAATATCTAGCCCGAAGAAGGCCGGAGTTGAATAGACGTCTTTAGTACTTGGAAAGGCATCATATACACATAAAATTCATCGCTGGGGGCCCTAGTTGTCTTCAGATTCATCAGGAATACCAAAAAAATACATTATGATATAATAAAGAAAGATGATTTGGAGGTTAAGTTGAGAAAACTTGCCACTTCTACTTTTTTTTGTACGTTAGACGTGGACGTTATAGGCCATCCGGACAAGTTTACAATAGGAAATGGATAGACTTCTGTTTCCATAGAGGGGAATGCAAAATCTGTTACCATACAGAAGGGGAATGTAGGTACAATGTGTTTAGAGTTTGGATCGAAAGATGGCAATCTCTGTTTGAAAACGAAGTAGAAACGCTATGTCTTTGTAGATAGAAAAAATTTTAGCAATAATATCATAAAAATGCAGTCAAGGAGTGAAATTATTCAGGCATTCTAATTTATGAGGATATTTTGTATTTATGAACTTTTCAACAGAAAACATGGAAAATTGCTATTTATTACACTATTTTTGCAAGTTCAATGTCTTAGAACAGGTTTTCCAATTTGACAGCCTTCCAAACAATCAAAAACAATGTTGAGATTGAACAACTCTTCATGAACTTATCAAAAACTATCAGTGGTATGTTATCTGGTATCTGGTAATTTGGAACTACAGAAAGGACACCATTGACAAAAAAACTACAATAAACAACAAAATCTTTATTTAAAGAAAAAACCCACTTGAAAAACAAAATTAAAGAGTATTTTGTGATAAGTGACATAATAAATACATAGACAGTAATATAGACTCAGAGAATAACTGTGTAGATAAAAAATTATCAAAATTCACCATGCACTGTGGTTTTCTTATCTTATCTTATCTTATCTTATCTTATCCTATCCTATCCTATCCTATCCTATCCTATCCTATCCTATCCTATCCTATCCTATCCTATCCTATCCTATCCTATCCTATCCTATCCTATCCTATCCTATCCTATCCTATCCTATCCTATCCTATCCTATCCTATCCTATCCTATCCTATCCTATCCTATCCTATCCTATCCTATCCTATCCTATCCTATCCTATCCTATCCTATCCTATCCTATCCTATCCTATCCTATCCTATCCTATCCTATCCTATCCTATCCTATCCTATCCTATCCTATCCTATCCTATCCTATCCTATCCTATCCTATCCTATCCTATCCTATCCTATCCTATCCTATCCTATCCTATCCTATCCTATCCTATCCTATCCTATCCTATCCTATCCTATCCTATCCTATCCTATCCTATCCTATCCTATCCTATCCTATCCTATCCTATCCTATCCTATCCTATCCTATCCTATCCTATCCTATCCTATCCTATCCTATCCTATCCTATCCTATCCTATCCTATCCTATCCTATCCTATCCTATCCTATCCTATCCTATCCTATCCTATCCTATCCTATCCTATCCTATCCTATCCTATCCTATCCTATCCTATCCTATCCTATCCTATCCTATCCTATCCTATCCTATCCTATCCTATCCTATCCTATCCTATCCTATCCTATCCTATCCTATCCTATCCTATCCTATCCTATCCTATCCTATCCTATCCTATCCTATCCTATCCTATCCTATCCTATCCTATCCTATCCTATCCTATCCTATCCTATCCTATCCTATCCTATCCTATCCTATCCTATCCTATCCTATCCTATCCTATCATAGGGAGGGGAGGTTCGAGTCTCTCAGGCTGATGACCTGAATAATGTTGTATCCTAACATATCCTATCAAATAAGATCTATTGACATAAATAGGTGTTGCAAGTCTAAAAACTTAAAAATGTATACAATACTAGCAAAAAATCAGAAAGATTTCAATTTCCAAGAGTTCCATTTCGGCGGATATGGCGTTCACAGTATATACTGTATGATTCAAATTAAAAAAGTAATTTCAATCTCAAAAATGCCACGATGTTTCATTAGAGAATAGCCATTAGAAACTGATTATGAATGCATGTATCTGCAAAACAGAGTTTATACTCATAGAGCTCGTAAGGATTTGCTATTAGGAACTCATTATGAATGTACATGCAAAACGAATTTCAATCTCAAAAATGCCACGATGTTTCATTAGAGAATAGCCATTAGAAACTGATTATGAATGCATGTATCTGCAAAACAGAGTTTATACTCATAGAGCTCGTAAGGATTTGCTATTAGGAACTCATTATGAATGTACATGCAAAACGCATTCCACTCCCATAAATGCCACGATGTTTCAATAGAGAATAGCAATTAGAAACTGATTATAAATGTGTATGTGAAACATAGTTTGTTGTTACAGAGAAATTTGAATTCGTAGGACTTGGATGAATCAAAATAAGTTATTGGAATGCAATTATTCATGTCATCCTTATTGACAGAACATTTGATGAAGTCGATTCAATTGAAGTTTCATTGAAGTTAGATACATTACGGATACATAAAAAGAAACTTGACTATATTCTTTTGAAGGAATTTTTACTGTTGAAGTAGCCCTGTTCAAAATATTGATTTATTCTGACTTCCTACACAATCCCTATTGATTTGTCGCATAATATAATACTCGTTCATTTTATCAAACGGCTTTCGGTGTTTGCGTTTACGATTCTGAAAACTTCATTTCTGACTAGCACAAAATATACAATCAATTAGCATGTTTTCACTTACCTCATCGTTCTTATCGATATTATTCTCCATTTATGGTTGAAGAATAATTATAAGAATGGAAATAAAGAAATAACTACAGAAATCGAAATCGAAATCGCCCATGTAAATATAAATGTAACTTAACCTCAATCTCAATGACGCGGACAACGCCCACTACTGCCAGACTGCTACAGAATCAGAACCTAAACACAGAACAGAATCGACAGAATGAAACAAGACACAGGTCACTGATTTTAGGACCAAGTGAATTTCGCTTTTGATTTTGTATATCTTTCGCAGATATTTATAACTTTTTATTCCTCTCATGGGCATGGCCAAGATAACTTCAAGATTGTAGTAGGTAACATCTCAATTATATTAATTCCTTAAAATATCACTCTTGAAACCACTCCCTAATGTTTTGAATTAAATATAGCAGGTAGATTGCCTCCATGAAGATACAGCTATTTTATTAAGTCAAACATTACATTTGATAATTCAGGTAACGTTGTGGAAGCTTTTTCAATCATTGATATTCGAATGTTTTAGTAACTTATACGGACTAATTGCATCATTATAAACATTGCTGAAACATTAAAACAATTTTTCAAAGATAACCTTGTATAGGCAAGACGAAAACTATGTAGCTGCAATGATATGTAATGTTTGATGTTTAGTGGGTTTATTTTTTCAGGCAATGGAAATACTCTTTCTCCCAAAGATTATCATCAAGATGACATAAATCCATCTTGTAGTTACTGCCCACAAAACAGAAATGGTGAGATTCCTGTGATACTATAGTTTCCTTCAATTCCGAAACAATTCACTGTTTCAGAATTCAACACAACTTTGAAGAATTTGTTAACTGATTTAAGAGACATCACAAGAAAACAGACTTTATCAATGTCGGTAGCGACCGAGACCATTGACCAAATTAAAAAGATATCAGATGAACTGAAAAAATTGAGAATTGAAGATATACCACCAGATTCTACACTACATTCAGAATATAAATTTCCCATATCTGATAGAGAAACCTTTGATAA